CTTGGAATTTGTAGTTCATTTTCATTTAATTCAGTTCATATATACACACTTAAATACAATTTGTCTTCCTGTTATAGTTTTATTAAATATCAATTTCAGTATATGCAATTCGATCTGGATCCTATCATATTCATGAAATAAAGACCTTGACTACTACAAATAGTTCCTCATAAAAAATGCACCCACATATTTCATAGCATGAGAACATAAAAATAAATAAATTTATTGCATTCTCTCATAATGAAGTTTTTCCTACAGGCCTGTTATGGTATTGTTTTAGTTTGCCTATTTTTTGTGATTCGCCTTGAACCAGTCCATTGCCATTTAGAACTGGAGGTTTTGGTGTGGATAGACTCTCCTAGAACCAACAATTGACTTCGCCCAGGTAAAGCTTGCTGGAATTGTTCAGTATTTAGAAACTCTAAAACAGCATTATAGCCTAGGAATTGCATCTTATCAAAAGACCTGACTCAGTGAGCCTTACTCCTCACAGATAAGCCTCAAGGGGATTGATGTATGCACTCATTTGTTACGTCTTTTCTGAAACTTTCCATAACTGGCCAGCTTGAAAAGCAGTATTGGCTGGCAATCAGTCTTCATAACATTAAGCTTCTATACTAGATTCCTATCACCTTCTTGGATGAGGTGAAATTAGTACTGAGAGACAGATGTGGCTGGGCCTATACGTGCTCAATCACTTGAAATAAATTCTAATCTATTTGACTGATGATACGTTTTATAGCCTGTTTGGTGTGGTTTAAAAGTAGGAAAAAATTTTGGATTTACGTGCAAAATATTTTATTATGTAAATGTGTGGTTGAAAATAAGTATGACAAAAAAACTAAAAGTTTTGAAAAAAAAGGGTGTCAAACTGGGGCTTAATGTAAGTCGTGTTTTTAGTGTAACAGAATAGTTTCTTATTGAGCACATTAGAGCCTCTATTATCGTCTTCTTTATTTGTGTCTCCGGGACAACTCTGTGATCAGTTCCCTCCCTTTTATTCTGTTTATTTGCATCCCATTGATGCCATTATAAATGATTCTGTTTATTCTTTCCCTACTTTATTTTATGATAAAATTTCACAGAAAATTTCCTTCTGCGAAATTGACCAGTTGAATCCAAAATATATTTAAGGTCCCAAAAACAATACAGTAACAATAGTATAAAATCATGGACCAACCAGAAATAATAAATATCACAACTGTATAAATAATTAATTCTGATTAATAAATTAAATACCTAAATCAAAAAGAAACGCTAAGAAGTATAAGCTATTGGGAAAAAAAAGCGCCTATACATGTTACTAATGCAAGTAATTCGAATAAAATGTAACTGAACTTAATTGGAATGCTGCTCCAATTGAACAGTTAATATCGGAAAGATAATAGATATGATTTTACCGAAAGCAATCGTGGCGGCAGTGATGGAGTCACGGAGGATGCGGAGAGGGACGGCGGTGCAGAGCTTCACGGCTGAGGCAGGGTCCTCTGAGTTGGCAATCATAGCCGCGCCGGTGCCGGCTCCACCGGCCGCAGTGGCTGCCAAAAGCAGCTTCGTTTTGGCGCGCCACACAGATCGCGCGGCCATTTTCTGCTTTTTATATTTTATTCAGACTTCGGAGATCCCTTGTTGAGTTCGAGAAAAGAGACTCAGCCGCATATATAACCGGGCGGTCGCGATGGACTATCAACCGTAAAACAATTCTATTTGACTTCAACGAACACAAAAAAAAAAGAAAAAAAAAGGAGAGAGTCTTCACGTAAATCCAATTTTTTTTTTCCACATTTTAATAATACATTCTCCAAAAACTTTTTTTTTTTTTTCCCCGAAAGTTGACTATCAATCAGGGGCAAATGGTGTCATTTTCGGTTGCACCGTAGAGTTCTCGACAATTTTTTAGTAAAAATTTGAACTTTTGTTTTAAATTTTTTTTAAAACGTTTTGAATAAGTAAAAGGTAAATATACTCGCACCATAATTTTTATTAACTACACCACATTTTAATTATAACAAATAATCCTAGTTTTTTCTTATTTCTATACTTATGTTATCAAGTATTTATTTTTAAAATATTTATCATCAACCCTCTATTAAATTTTATATCTCGACACTAGAGACGATTTTCGTCAAAAATATTTGTTACGATGGTCAAAAAGACATTTATCTCTCGTATTTTTAAATAACAAAACAAATAGCTAATATTTGCCCATTTGTTCAATACACGTTAGTAAAATATTTGGATGAAAATCGTGATTAGAGACGAAATATCGAACAATTCTACATGTACAATGTTGGATTACAACATTGAGTTACAACCTCTCACATGGGAGGTGAGCCCGCGATTTAAATAATAGTGAGCTCCACCTCAATTGTGAAAGGTTGTAACTCAATATTGTAACCCAACATTGTACAAGAAGTTTTATTGTTTTAGTGTAAGTGTGTAATCATCAAGTCCTGTTTGGTGAGAATTAAAATCAGAATTTAATAATTTTTCAATCAAAGTTAATGAAATATGTGATTGAAAATTATGGCTCACATAAAATATGTGGTTAAAATTAGAGGAAATTACACATAAACCTGGATTTAAAATACCATTT